GGATAGGCCAAATTAACCAGACGGCGGATGTCGGTTTCAAATTCTTGTAAGCTTGTTGCTTTTTGTTGCCTTGTTCTTAGTTTTACCGGGTAAAGCTAAAGCTGCCTTCTGAGCTGCGATTTTTTTCTATTTCTATTTTGATTAATTTTCTCAACCGCCGAGTGCAGTTAGCTCCTCTGCACCCCCCTAAGGCCGGCGCTGGTTTGCAGGCCTATTTTTACGCAATTAAGATTTGTGGTATACAATGAAAAGAACTGTTAGCTTTATCACTATTTCGCCATGTTTGATTGTCATTTGAACGCGTTTGATTGGAATCCATTCTGTAGAAAATTATATTCACTGTTTTTTATCAGGTATTTTGTTGAATCTGGTATTATAATTATGATTTTACAGTTTATTATAAATGATTCATCATATTTATGCTCCGAATATCCATAAAACGTGTAAAAAAATTGACACATTATAGGTTAGTATTTTTATATTTTTGTCAAAATTAGGGTTTTTTCAAGGCCCACGAGTTATTTGAACCTTTGAAGTACACTTTCATCAGTAAACTTAGGTTTGTATACAAATTTCAATGCAGAATCACGTCTATGTAAGAATTATATTTGTGTAATACCATTCATAGTTATCATAGATCGTCCATTACAAATGTAGTAAGTTTAAATTATGTTTGTGGGAAATTATGGCGAAGTAGAAGAATTGATAAAGTTTGGCTAAGCCCCTTAAGTTTTAAGAATATAAATTTTGTTGCCATTTTTATTTAAAAAAATTCCATTTGCACTTCATTTCTCCCATTTGGCTTTTCAAGGCGGCCTAATAGTTTTATCATAGACTTGGAATAAGTTTTATGGACGCTGTCTGTATAGCTATAAAACTTTGCTTTTGGAACTTCAAAGCTTTAATAAGGTTTCATAAAAGGCTGTTAAAGCAATCTTAGGGGTGGGCCCTTGCAGGCTTAAAAGAACTTTAAAAGGGTTCTTTAATGGTTGTTAAGGCAATATGGCTTTATAAAATATTTTTATTCTAGGTTTTATAGTAACTCTTAACACTTCTTTAAAGCTAAAAATGTTACTTGGGTTGTCACATCATATTACTAGTTTGGTAAAGTAACATTACTAATTCCTGTTAAAAGGCAAATTGACAAAAAGTGGATAATCTTACAAATTCTGACTTTATATAATAAGTTATTGTTCAAGTACAGGCTGTTTTTTATATATTAACACCCCACCTACAGCATTCACCTTTACAAGTAAATGAAAGCTGTAAATATAAAAGTTGTGCAATTCAATGATTTAAATAAAGAAATACACAAACTGATTGGAGAGTTCAAACAAGACAAATGAATAAAATGCTGCAAAAACATAAATAGACTCAATGGAAAAAACTATTGGACTGAAATTAAAAAATTGAGTAAATATAAGGCAGCAAAATCACCAATCCCAATGATACAACAAGGGAACACGGTTCTGGACAGCGACCTCGATAAAGCTAATGCCTTTGCGGAGTACTATGAAAATCTTTTTATGGATAACAGTAAGAATGACGGGGACGAACAAACTGCAATTGTCAACGAACGGTTTGATGATTTTTTCTCAGGCGAGCTACGCAGAGCTGATATACAAATCGAGGACGATGAATACAAACAGGTCATAGCTGAAGGGCGAAGCACCGCTCCAGGTTACGACAACATCAACCGTAATACTTTAAGACAACTCAGCCCAGAAATCCACACAAGAATAAAACAAATTTAAAGCTACTGTCTAACTAATGGCTACTTTCCAAATACCTGGAAAAAAGGCATAGTCATAACCATACTCAAACTGAACGTAGACTATTCCAGAGTGAAAAACTACAGACCAATTTCCCTTTTGCCAGTTTTAGGAAAAAATCTTGAAAAAATTGTTCGGAACAGAATAAACCGTGAAATAGGACGAAACATACCTGGGCATCAGTTCGGTTTCAAGCAAGGTCACTCCACTATTCATCCACTATCCATTCTAACATCAAACATACAGTCAGCAAATGTTACGGGTTTCAGAAGTGCGGCGACGTTTTTAGATATTAAAAAGGCTTTTGATACAGTTTGGCATAGAGTTATCCTGTTTAAACTCTACCAGTTACAATGTCCAAGATACCTGATATGGCTTGTTAAGAAGTTCCTGGAGAATCGACAAAATGTGGTAAAAATAAACGGAAGCCTTTCATACCCATTTTCTAATGAGCAGAGAACACCACAGGGATCATCACTGTCGCCATTGCTCTATAATATTTATTGTCACGACATCTTCCCTCCAACAAACCAGGTTACAGTTGCAAGTCCATATATCATACAATTTGCAGACGATACCGCTATTATATCACACCACAAGAATATATTCCAAGCTGTTCAATCTCTACAAATAGCACTTAACAGAGTGATTGTCTGGTTAGATAGGTGGAAACTAAAAGTAAATCCTGAAAAATCGCAATTCATAATATTTCATCACAAGATCAGTGACGCTTCACCAAAACTAGATTCTCAACCACCAAATACCCCCTCAATCTCACATCAAATACTTGGGTATCCATTTCGACAATAAATTAAATTTCAAATATCACCTGTCAACGATGAAGAAAAAGACAATAATAAGGAGCAAGCATTTTAGAAACCTAACATACAAGGACGAGGGTATTAACATCAAAACTGCATGTCACATCTACACAACAATATGTAGACCAATTTTGAAATACGGACAAATAATTTTCAGTGCTTGTAGAGGACCTGCCATCCAGATAATAGAAACTGCAGAAAGAACTAGTCTCCGTAAAATTACAAAAATCAGACATCCTACAAACCCGCTTCATAAACCTGCTTCATAATATAAGATGGCGTCGAGTGGTTAGCACGCGTATCGAGTGTCTGCTGTAATTTTTCTAAATAAATAATAAATAAGCCTGCAAATAATTTAAGTTTTTGTGAACGACCTATGCTAGTATCGTGATAGTGCCCCTTGAAGGTGTTTTGCGGTTTTCTAGTGCAAGTTTCCTACTATTTTTCGGCCTGTGTACTTCTAACCTATCTAGCAAACATGGGTTTGACGTCAGGGGACATTGAAAAAATCAAAGGTATCTTCAATGATCAATTTCTAATTGTTCTCGCAGAAAAAGTAGCATCTATCGTTGAAGAAAAATTCAGGGAGAAGATTCAAAAGCAAGCTGAATGCATCGAGCGGTTGGATAGAGCAGTACAAAAGCTCAAGGGGACCAATTTGAAATTGACCGAAGAAATGGAAAGGCAGGAACAGTCATCCCGCAGTCTAAATCTTCGTATATTCGGCATTTCAGTCGATGAAGGCGAGAATTTGCGTGGAAAAATATTGAATTTATTCAATAAGCAGCTAAAATTAAATATTAAAGATACGCACTTAAAAAAGTGCCATCGTATCCATGCAAAAAATCCAAACGATAAGCCACCAGCTGTCCTTGTTACATTCTTTATTGACGCTGAACGCAAGGATGTGCTCAAATCCCGCAAAATGCTTAAATCAAGCAATATACAAATTAAGGAGGATTTAACGAAAAAACGGTTATCGTTGTTGACGGCGGCAGTAAACAAATTTTCGTTCAAAAATGCGTGGTGCCTCAATGGAGCGATCTATGTGAAGGGTCGTAATGGTGTCTATCGCATAAACGATGAAAATGAACTGAACAATATAAGAAAGTGATTTCAATCCATAATTGTATGATCCTCAGTAAGTTTTGTTTTGTTTTTTTTTTTTTTTCTCTGTCCTCTGTTTTCAAAAAAGCAGCTCTGTTTTCAAAAAAGCAGCTCTGTTTTCAAAAAAGACCAGCACCGGTGAGCCAAACATCATGCTATCTGGAAGTGCTGTCACATTACAGAGTCAGTTGAAAATCTTGGGGGTTACTGCAGAGACCAGCATGTCTTGGCACAGTCACGTGGCAGATATTGCTAAAAGGGCCTCCCAAAAGCTGGGGGTGCTATTTCGTACAAGACATCTGTACACACCAAGCCAATTGCTGACACTCTACAAAGCCCAGATTCGACCAACTATGGAGTACTGCTCACATATATGGAGTGCAGCACCCAAACATACCTTAATACTTTTGAATACCGTGCAAAAACGAGCTATCAAGCTGATCAATGACCCCGCACTTACTCGTAACTTGGATGGTCTCGAACATCGCAGATCTGTGGGCGATTTATCTGTCTTCTACAGGTACTATCACGGAAAATGCTCTGAAGAGTTGGCACGTATGATTCCACCGAGAATAGCACCTACCAGGCGAACCCGTCAAACAGACGGTAACCATGAATTTACTGTCAAACTAGGGGCACCAAGAACCTCATTATATCAGAATTCATATCTCTGGAGAACAACATCGCTGTGGAATAAACTCCCTGCGACGGTTTTCCCTTCAGGTTACGACCTGAACCGTTTCAAGACCAACATACACCGACATTTCCGCGCACTTGCCGCTTCTCGAGCGTGATAGGACATTTCCTTGCGAGTGCGCATATCCGTAAAAAAAAAAAAAAAAAAAAAAAAAAAATATGTTCAATTGCCGAAAAATACATTTTGCATGTTTTTGTTACAAAATTATTAAAAATCAAACCCCACTCTATTTATTTAATAAAATTAAATTTAGGGCGGATGTTCATCAGTTGAATCTCCGTCTTAGAGGCTTTTTAACTGTACCAAGACACAGAAAAGAACTTTTTAAAAGATCTTTTTCATACAATGTTGCCTCCTGTCTTAATAAGCTTAATGTTGTGTCTTTTGTGCAGTCTGGTGCAGTGTTTAAAAATAAAATTAAGAAGATACTGTTTGATAGTCAATAGTGTGAAGTATGAAATTCCAATAAATGCTCTATTTTTCCTCTCTTTTTCTTTCTTCTGTCTTGTCTTTCTCTTGTTTTCTCTTTTCATTTCTTCCCCTCCTCCATTAGGATTGCTGAGAGAATAGTTATCATTTAATCATTTTTTATTCTGTTTCCAAATGCTTACTGGACAAGGTAAGTCAATATCGGATAGGCGCATATTTTGAATTATTTTTTTTAAGTTATGGTAGGCCTAAACAGTATCTGGTCTCATACCAGATGTCTGCAATGACATGGCCTTTTATTTTTTTCATTCAATAATTTTAAATATCTATTTCAGCTGCACATTATAATTGTGATTGAGAAAAATAATAAATTTATATTATTATTATTATTATTATTATTATTATTATTATAATCCATCAAATGAAATGTTGTATCAAAAAACTGAAATTGAACCAATCATTCAAAGATTTCAAAGTCTTACCGAGAAGTTTGGCAGCAGACCATCCAACATAGCGATAATCAGTCCATTCATTTTGGAAATTCCACAAGGCCTTATCAGGAAAAGACAATATCCAGAAGAAACTGTTTTCCAAATTATACAAAATAATAGACTGTAAAAAGCTAACATAAGTACATATTTGTGCTGTACGTACTTGCATTGTTCATTTAATTATTAATATTTTTTTTCTCCATCGCATGTGGATTTATCTGTTTTATACTTATACTTAGCAAATTTTGTAAATACATATAAAATTGTAGATATCAAAGGTTGAAAGACCTCGGTCGATGGCCCTTTGAACAATTAGTTCAATAAATATTGTTTACTACTACTAAAAGTTGTACAGTATTGGCTAAATTTTTAGAATCCATGGATGATCAGAAACAAAAATTGAATGTCAGAAATGTGAAATGTTGCATGCTTTCAGGTTTTTTCGAATGGGATGCCCTATATTTGGTTCTATATTTTTGAAGAGTACAATTTCCTGATTCCAAAACTATATACCTAGTTTGTCTGTATTTAGTTGAGCCGTCTCCAAAATAGTTAGTTCTAATAATTTTAAAAATACTATCAGAGAAACCAAGTACCTCAAATTTTACCTACATCTTTCACCTGTAGGTACAGGTAGAATGGTTCACAAAATCAGTAGTAGGATAGTATTTTTACAATTTTTGGAGCCGAAGATATGAGAGACTGTTCAATCAAATATAGACAAACTATATATTTTTGGAATCGGAACATTGTGCTCTTCAAGAATATAGAATGAAATATAGGGCATCCCATTTGAAAAAAGCTGGAAGCATGCAAAATTTCACATTTCTGACATTCAAATTTTATTTCTGACCAATTCAGCCAAAACTGTACAACTTTTGTATTTACACCTTTCTTCTACCTGTAAAGGTGAAGGCTGTAGGTGGGGTGTCAATATATAAAAAAACACCCTGTACTTTTTTTTTATAGGTACCTACCTATTTTTTTTATGCCTTTAATACAACTAGGCACCAGATTCAACATATGATTATCAAAATTGTTTTTATTGAATGGGGTTTGGGTTGGGTGGGCCACTTCACCATTTGCCCGGTGGGCCAAATGACCCCCAGTCCGACACTGCGAGAACGGCTCACTTTAGAATTTAGATGGACGTATTTTTTATTAAAGTTGGCTTGGAACGTACCAAGGCATTCGAAAATAATTGAAAATTTGTTCTAGAACTAAATATGTGTCGGGAGTAAAAGGATTGAAATTTATTTGGATCAAATATCAAAGAGAATAACTTCACAGCAGACGTCATAAAACAATTATTATTTGTTTTCCGATTTAACCATGAAATTTGACGGTGGGAGTCAAACTATTAAAAATTATCCATTAAATTATGTTGGCAATATTGGTTGGTCAGTTAAATTTTATGCCGTTCCGTATAATTGTAATTGTGTTTTCTGGTAACATAAAAAGGAGTCGTATATTTTTACGGTTTGAGGTGCCAAACCAAATTTGCATGAAAATTTGCAATTATTTAACTTTACTACCGGAACGACCTAGTTAATTATCATAATCGTAATGGTTAAACTATAAATCTAAACTTAGTGTTTAGCATTTTCAATTTCGGCAAATAAAATTTTACCCCAATAAATTTTGGTCTGTAAAGTTTGAAAAATAAAATGGAATACCCAAATTAATTCAATAAATAAAACCACTCTCGGTCATAAAATATTAATAATCGGAAAAATATAAAACCGATGATGCAAAGTTACTGCTTTTACAATTTCACATGAAGCATATAGCATGAAGCATAAAATTTCGGCGATCACCATAAAAACAAAAGCGCCTAGGTAATTTCACGTTAAAATAAAATTTCATAATCGCCCACAAAAGTTTAGTTTCCCAATAATACATAAAGTATTTTTTCAACAAAGAATAATAAATCTACAATAATTATTTTAAACGTTTATTCTTAGTGTCAATAATGTGTCATTTTAGGAGACAATTTTCAATGTTATTTACTGTTAAAAGTGATTACAAATACAGTTCAAGTAGCCAGAACTATAATTTTCTTCTACGGTTCCACAGGGGTTTGTTTCCATTTTTTAGGCTTCTAGAAGGTATGGAAACGATAACACTCAACGAAGTCGTCAGGTGGCTTCTGGAGTTATTCTTGATATTTTTCAGTGAGCTCTGATAACCTGCTACCACTATGGAGGACTTCCACTCGCCAGCGTGAAGCAGCAAAATAGTTCCAGATTTGAGATTTATATGAATTCTACAATATAAGTACCTAGGCATTTTATTGAAATGTTTTCATACCTTGCACTTTGATTTCAACGCAGTTTTTATCATCCAGTAGTGAGACCAAAAAGATAAAAACTTCCATACCTTGACTTGTTCACTAGCCGATGGCAATCATGGCAACGATAACCTTATTGGCTCATCAGTTCATATCCCATGCCATTGTCTCAGGTTTCACAGTCATGAAGTCTGGTTGTTTAGATGTCGCATAATAAAAGCGAAGCATGTCTTGATTTTCCCAACGATTTATTTTTCTTTTTTCACTCTCCAGTGAACTTCACGTTGACAGTTTGTTCTAGGCATGCATCTGTTATACGTTATCTGAAATGCTTTCGACTTTTTCAGTGCAGCTTTACTCAGTATCCAAGAGTCTGCACCGTAAAGAAGCCTTTATTAGAGATAAAAATAAAACATTACAACGCAAAGATCTCATTTTCTTTTCTACAAATTATTATGAATATTCAAAATTTTGATTTTATCATGTTGTTTAATATTTTAGAGGGTACGGCACTTAATATGACACCACCACACACAAAAAAGATGCAGTTTTATACACGGGAACAAGGTAAGAATTTGGGGATTTCGTGTTTAGGTATATGTATGTTGACAAACTACATCTCGCGGAAATTTAGCATAATAATGAATAATAATTATTGAGACATAAATCATTTTTTTTGACACTTTATTTTTATTCCCTTATGTCTATATTCTCTTGCTTGTTCCAAAAATAGGTGATTTGCCAAGTCGTTGAGATCCGAAGGGTTTCCTTTTTCGTAAAATGTAGATCCCATCTAACGATAATCTGTACCCCTTAATTCAATATATCTTCTATCTTTCACACCTTTTTTTGAATTTATCACGCGTTTAGGTTCTGAATATAAAAAGGCAATTTGTCAATTCCCTCTACTCTATTGTTTGTCACAGAGTTTTCTCTATGTCCGGAAAAAAATTTGAGAATTACAGTGCTCTGCTCGTACGATATAACTTTTATTTTACCATAGTTGTGTTAGATTGTATGTAAACATTTGTTTATTAAGGGACACCAAAATATAGTGTCAATTGGGTGTAAAAATTTAACATCAAGATAAAACTGGTTTACTCTTTCCACCGATATAAGAAATGTCGATGAATCAGTAGCCTCTTTTATTAAATTATTCGGTCACGTGTCCCTTATACTGGAACCCTGTTCAGGAGGGTCATCTTTGATTTTGTCTTGAATACGGCAATATTTGGTAAAAAGGAGTATTCCTAATTTTGAATAAATAGGCAGACCATTCGGCTACTACAACCCAACCGTCTCCCTACTCACTTACTGGCCATTAAATAGTAATAAAATGCAAATGAGTTTCTCATATGTATAAATGGAGATAAGCATGATTTAATAAAAGTTAATTAAAATAAATTAAAATTATATCATTTTTCGAAAATTCAAGACTGTCTCTTCGAAGTTCCGATTTCCCTTACGCCTGATATCAGCAGGCGATGCCTCGATAGAAAGAGCTTCTTTCAAAAATTTTATCTACCTCTGGTAAGCAGACCCATGTTTCTGGAATAACCATCTTGATTGGTTGAAATATGGTAATTTTCCTTGACAAAATGTAATAAATGCTACTGAATATAATCCTGGCACTTTGGCCGCGAACAGCTCCCGGTCGCATCCAAGTCGCTATATTTTTCTGCTTCTGGATGAGCCTTTTGTTTCTACGTGGTCGGTCTTTTGCTTGGCTCGCGGCGGAAGTTAAATACTGTACACCAAGATACAACCAGACGGCGTCGTCTTCATTGTAAGTGTTCAATGACTGTCGTTCGTCAAGTCCCATCTTCATTCTATCTGTGACTGACGTGATCTATTTCTGGTGAAATCGTGAACTACTCTAAGTCTATCCTAGATATCAACCAATAAACTGGAAGTGCAGCTTCTTCTTCATTGGCCGGAGGTCTGCCAAACCCTAGATCCACGACAAACTCAATTTTTCTCCCAGTCAACAGCATTAATAGTGTAACCGTTGGGTTCGAGCTGAGAGCTTCTCTAAGCCAAAAAGGAAAGAGGCATCAGCTCATCCCATTATCGCTGGTGTTCGTCCACAAACATCGAAAATTATTGATCGATTGTGCTGCCTCTCGAACATTCTGTTAGACTGTGGATAAAGTGTCGATCTAGTTCGCCTTATCCACAGCAACCTCATCAGTTTTTTTTCACACATATCACTTAAAACTCCTCCCCTGATCGGTATAGAGTTACTTATCTACTTACTCACTGCGTAGCGCTACAGCCCCTGTTTGGCTCAGACTCAGGCTGACGCGACAACTTGCCTTCATCCGACACGAACGGTCATATTTATTACGCTAGGTTCCACCATGTCAATATCGTCCGCATAAGCAAGTATTAGTTGTAAACCATTCGTTT